TACATTGTTCTTGAATCAAAAGTTTGTTTTCAAACAATGGAAATGTTTTTTTTTTCCAAGTACATCAAAATGAATTAGTAATTGAATCGAAATTTCATTATTTTAAGATGTTTTGGAATATTTCAAGGTGTTTTTATATGTTTTCACTAATGCTTCAGAATGTTTTGAGATATTTCAAAATGTTTTAATATGTTACGACTAATATTTTGAATTTTTTTTAAATAAATTTTCAAATTTTTTATTCATTTTCGTTTTGTTTCTAAAACGTTTTTGGTTCATAATTGGCTGAAATAATGCAATGAAATAAAATTTGGATCCCTATTCTCAAACATTGAGAAGAAGTGGATGAGTTGTGGAGGTAATAAAATCTATATTTTCTATGCATTTGTTTGTAGTAATGAAATAGTGCATTTAAAGTTGTAGTAAGCAAATTTATAGTTAATGTGATTTTGTTGTCGTTAGTTGGTTAAATTGAGTTTAATAAAGTGTTTAGACATTTTTTTTTCCTAAAATAATGTTAGTCATTCACTCAGTTTCAAACTATGATGAGTGGTTGATTGTGTCAATATTTATCAAATTTTAAACTCCTCAAATATTTAATATGGTCAAAATTATTTAATTATTATTTTTTTGTCATACAAATATAGAAGGAGAAAGGATTTGAACTGACATCCTTTTAGTACCCAAATAGAGTGGATTACCACTCTGGTAGACCCATAGGTCTAATACTAAACAGATTTAGTTAAATGAAATAAAACAAGAGAAGATGTCTGATAATGCACACAGTAAACATCTTTTGTTGCATTGTCAAAAACTTTTAAAAGTCCTTAACAAATTTGGGCTTTTTAGTAAAAACCTCTTTGAGCAAGGTTCTAACAGTTGGTCAAATATTTCAGTGGAAAAATAGCCAAACATCAATATTGATATCATCAATAAGAAAACCAACCTTTACGTTTGTTCGGAGATGAAGTCAAAATTTAATTATAAGGGGGGCCAAATAAAAACAAATGCCGGAATAATTTTTTTTATTTAATTGGTGATTCAACTTTTGTTATCTTGAGTGTCAAAGTTTAATGGTATAAAATTTATCAAAATAAACTTCATATAATATAGTGATAATATTTAGTTTGGATCATAAGATCTAAATGTTGATTTCTATTTCGAGTTTTCTCCATTTGGTTCTTCTTCTTCTCTCTCTATTAGTCTCTGTCTTCTCACCTCTCCCGGTCTGTGTCTTTGGTTTTGGTTATCTGAATCTTAAGGCAATGGAAGATTAGGAGAAGACTCTAATTTGGGTATACTAATTTTTAAAAGGCATTGCTGACTATTATGCTTAATATTATTGAGTTTTGTTTTAATTTGCATTCTTAAAAGTAATTTTCTTGTATTGATGTTCATGTTATATTATTTCAATTACATCTTCCATTGTTGTTGATTGTTTTGGGCCGTAAATTTCGCTAATAATAGTCTGTTATGTCTTGTCTCTAAGGTAAATTGTATGCATTGTAAGCATATTTCATATTTTTTTTAGTTAAATTATATAATTTTTTTTATAATAAGACCGGTCCGACTAGTTGACCCAACGGTTGAACTATTGACCTTGTTCGTCCACCGATTCAATGTTTAGTCCGGTTTTAATAACTATGTTTAAATGTTATACAAGTCAAGATTTTACATAAATCTTATCTGGCAAAAAAAATATTTCATAACATCAAACACAACTTCCAACCAAAGTAAATACAAAAAAACTACGGAAAAAACAAAATATCGAGAAGAAATTTCAGCACATTAAATTTTGAAATAGTCATGAAGAAAATAGTACATACATTGTTTTCAAATTGGGTTAATTTCACTTTGTATTGAAAGATGTTTTAATTCTCAATTTAACCCTTAAAGAATTGGATGCCTAAATTGCACCCTAAATGTTATAAAACAGTGTAATATGGCCTATTTCAAGATCAAATTGTAACCTCAATCTTAAATTTCATCCTGTATTGCATCTATTTTATAATATTGAAGGTGGAATTTTATAATTTAATTATTTTAGGGTACAAATTGAAAATTAGAGCATCTTTCAAGTATTCAAAGTGAAATTAATCCTTTTAATTTTCAATAAGCTTGACATTTCTCGTCATCTTGGAATAGCCATTAATGCACTTACCAGCTCAATGAATTATTAGCAGCGACCGTCCGACTGCCTCCGTATATCTTGGGCCAAAAAATGAACAAGAGAGTAAGACGGGAAATGTCAAGCTTATTGAAACATATTTTCTCTATTTTTCTCTTTAGTAGATTGCACGTCGAGAATTCAAATGGGAAAAAAAAATCCATATTGCTGTTTTATTTGTGATGCCTATTATCGCTGCAAAAAGCAATGCAATGGAACTTTTATTGCCGCTAATACCTTTTGTGGTACTACTTATTATGGAAAAGACTAATGCCATTGAGACGATGCAGTAAAAACTAAAAAGATTTTTTTTTTTTATAGTGACAAATTTTTGTTACTCCTAGAACACAAGGTGGCATTTTGATCTACCAATAATTGACAATGCTTTATTCAGAATAGCCATCAAATACAAGCTGCAGAGGAAAAACAAAAGTAGAAACGTGAAGCCAAAACACATACTAGCCACATGACCAAGGAACTATAAACATATTTGCAACTCAAGAGGAAATATTACATATAAAAACAGTAGAAACAATCAGATATAGCCTCGCCCAGTCCATATTCCAGGAGGTCCACAACTTGATATAGCAAAACTGGCACATTCTTGCACCATCAAGTTCCATATTCGACACAATCATCTCCCATTATCTACTGGCAATATTATATGATGCATCATGTTGTCATACCCAACTTGAGTTGTGGTAGTATCACCAGTGTTTCCGTAAACATTTGATCTCTCATCAAGCAAAAACTCAGTCTCCTCTGAGTTCAACTCAGCTTTAACCCATGGATGCCTCGACACCAGTCTCAATCCCTCTAGCTCCATTGCTACTTCCTTCATGGTAGGTCTATCCTCCCCTTTTAAATTCAAGCACCTGTTTGCTAGCTTAGCAACTTCCTTGAGTTTTTTAGCGTCTCCTTCGCGTACTAAATGGCCCTCAAGGACTTAGAACAACCGATCCTCATTCAGTGAAGACATAAAGTACTTAGCCAGAACTCTCTCCTCTTCTGGCCTATCGAAATATAGTGCCTTCCTTCCTGTTAGAAGCTCTACAAGAACTACTCCGAAGCTATAAACATCACTTTTCTCTGTCAATTGGCTTGTTTGCATATATTCAGGGTCCAAGTACCCCAGAGTTCCTTGCACTATCGTAGATAACTGATTTTGATCCAGAGGAACCAACCTTGATGCTCCAAAATCGGCTACTTTTGCAATGTAATTGTCATCTAAGAGTATGTTCGTAGACTTGATATCTCTATGGATGATAGGGGGAGAAGCTGCAGAGTGCAAATACGAGAGCACTCCAGCAGTTTCTGCAGCTATCCTTAAACGGGTGTCCCAAGAGAGAGTAGACGCCTTGATCTTATTGTGTATGTGATCAAAAAGAGTGCCATTATTAATGAACTCATAAATTAGTAGAGGGACTTGTGTCTCTAAACAACAACCCAAGAGCCTAACCACATTCCTGTGGTTGATTTTAGAGAGAACCACCACCTCATTGATGAACTGCGCAATTTGAGTTTGATCTACTATTTTTGACCTTTTGATGGCAACTACTCTTTTGTCTGTTAAGAATCCTTGGTAAACTATGCCATATCCGCCTCGCCCGATGATTTTGCTATCATCATAGTTGTTGGTTGCATTCTCAATTTCTTCAGAGGTAAAAATTTTTACTGCATTCGTTGATCCTTCTTGTCCGGCAAGTTGTTGAAGCAACATAAAGCCTCCATTTTGCAGGAAGAACTTTTGTTTGTGCTTGATTGATTTTCTTCTCTTCAGATCAAAGTACAACCAAGAGATACTAACGAACAGCAGCACAATGCCCACAGAAATACCTATAATTGCATTTGAAGAACAACAAAGAAGAAGGAATAAATCGTTTTAGTAAGACATTGCATATAAGTATGATGGATGTTACTCAATGATCCGAGAATGATAAGGAATGAAAATGGCATACAAGCATGCAAGGTTCCCACCTCTAACAGGGTTGGGAGAGAAAGTGGTACAAGAAATATCCCACTAATAAGATGGATGTTGTTTCCAAAGAAGTTTAACAGTCTCCTAGGAAAAATCAACATCATTTTGCCATTAGCTAAAAGCATGCCCCTGCTTCGAGGATGAAAAAGGGATTTAACTTTCAATGCTAATTGGGCTATGAATTTCACTAAGGTCCAAAAAATAAATCTAATATTCCGAAAAGAACAACTTCATTAAACCATGCATGATACCTATAGATCATACTAAGATTCAATTGAAGTCTTACTTTAGACCTTCCTAATGACTACTTCATAAACCAGAAACAAAATTCCCTTTTCACTGATAGTTTTACGAGAGAAAGAGTGGAAAAATGACATAAGAAGTATAAAATTTCATTCCAATCCAAATGGAATATCAAGCTAACTTTCTTTAACAGAAGGAAATAAAATTTTGATTCCTCAGGACACAAGCAAATCTGTGATCTCTTCACTAGTAAGAGGAGCAACAGTGTGATAACCCCACCAGTAGTTGCCTGACTAGCAAACAATGGATTAGCAAAGAAAGCTTCCATGTGCATAATAGGAAAAATACAGCAAGTAAAGTTACCTAAAGCAACCTTGATCACTAGTGACTGATTGGTTGTGCAACCTTCTCCACCTTTTCTGCCATCCCCATGGTACCCCTCGGGGCAGGTGCACGTATAGTTCCCTATCGTATTATGACAACCTTTTGCAAATTTACAGTTATTGCGACTTGGATCTTGACATTCGTCAATGTCTGCAAAACAATTGAAAAGAAAAGGCACCCATTAACGAAGCTATCGATAGTATGCAATAAAAAACAATAAAACTAAAGATGGGTATACTATAATAATACCTTGGCATCCGTTAGTGAGATATGGGTTACCTTCGTACCCCTCCAAGCAATCACAACGATACCCAGAAGTGGCATAATCATTATCGGGTTCGTAACACTTGGTATTGTCTTTGCATGCATAAGTAGCCAAGTTTTTTGGGCCACCTCACACGTTTCGTTTCCAATGGCCCAATCGACCACCATTGGAAGCGTGTCGGTGTTTTGCAGTTTTCTAAGGTACTTTGGTGTGAATTTGAACTCATTTTGTTGGGCAATAAAGGCGTAGCCGCAAGGATTGGAGCCTGATACCTTTGTATAGTTATTATAGCTAGTTAACTGGATATCAATGCTCCACACCCCTTTAGGGATGGATGTCTGGCAACAGCCAACTCCGGAACAAGAACCATCGGCGACAATGTTGAGGTTGTCGCATATAGACACGCATCCAGTTGTGGAAGAATTTTGCAGCCCCTCACCTGTATAGAACTCCACATGCCCAGAAGTATCACAACCGATTACTGTGAACTTATTCGCGGTGGAGATGGTAAATTTGGAGAGATCGAACGTGGCTCCGCTATAGGACTGTTCCTTCCCCTTCCGATCATATCATTCATGTCCTACAAATTGCCAGACCTGCAACTGACCTTGGAGGGATATGTTTGTGACATTTATGTTACTGGTTCTCAAAAATGCTATGGGAGGGTTGAAAGAGTGGTTGCAAGTGATGAGGAAGGCTTCATCTAGATAACAGCCTTTAGTGATGCCAAATGGGTATGGGATGCCTAAATTCCCACAACGATCAACGCAGCCTTGCTTGACCATGGCTGTCGTTGCTTGAGTAACAGTTGGTGCTTCGGACAGTAGGAATGCAAGGATACTGAGGTGCACTAGCAACACATGAAATTGGTGTACTGAGGCCATGGTCACTAATTTTTGCTAATAGTGAACTTTGTGCTAGTAGAAAATGGTGTTCTTCTTGGTCCTTTTGTAGGCACTCCAAGCCTCCAAGGAAGACAAGGTCAGCCAGTGGTACATAGGACAGTTACGCAAATGTCCTTGTATCATTTCAACCCCACATTACTTGGACTCGTGACTCCACAATAACTTACAAATCACGCATATCAGAGCGGTCAGAGTTTATATACTCAAACTTTGGAGCGACATTTTAATTTCTAAAGTTTTTCATCCAAAATACCCTAATTGTTCTTTTTTATTAATTTTAGTTATTCACCAATAAATAATTAAGTTCAATTTGTGGTTTCCATTTGCAGATTTCAAAATCATTAACAATGAGTCACTAAACTTAGAAAAAATAGGGAGATATTGAAATTAAGAGGATCAAAACCTATATCTATTGTTCATAGAAAATTCCATTTTTACAATCTCTTAGGAAAACATTGATGTGCCGAGTTTCTCAACCACCATATGCAGTATGAAATTTGAATATTTGACGAAAGAACAAAGTTCTATTACAGTACAAAAAAGTATATTTTCGGTACCAAAATTTTAGTTCTTAATTAATAAAATGAACCATGTTTATTTTTTTATTTTCTTTTTTTTTTTTATCAATAGTTATAGATAATTTAATTTAAGATTGATGGTCTATCGTAACCTTAACCAAAAAACTTTGTTTTGCGTGTAAGCCAATTTGAAAATTTCATTGTTGAGGAACAATTCATCGACATAGACTTATGGTACTTAAAATATAAAAAAAAATTAGTGTAATATCTAAAGTAATTTTAGTTATTAATCCTAATTTTGATATAATAGCAAAAGGTTCATTAATGTTTTTAGAAAAATTATAAATTAACCTCTAACATGTCTAAAATTTATCCAAATATACACAAAACGTGAACATAATCATTTAAGAAATGGGCATATACGACCAATTTTAATGTCTTGGACACCACCTTCAACTGGTCTATTGAAGACTAAATTTTGTAGGGTTGTACTTTTGGAAGGTCAATATGTGGGTGTTGGGGTTGTTATTAGGGCCATGAATGGGATCTTTGAGCACCATTCATGTTGATATGAAGGAGGTCACATGTTTTTGTAGGGATCAAGGAATGTTACAAATTAGTTTGGAAGGAGACTCCATTCAGTTTCTGCATTCAATAAGGAAAAGGGAAGCTCAAGTAAGAATGGGTTGTGGGAACAAAAATTTGACAAATGTGATGTCCGAGCTACAACAATTTTTGTTATTACGAGATAATTATGGTTTGGAGAAACAGAAATCGAGTGTCTAGCCAAGCAAACGAGATTTATTGATAGTAGTTTTTGGTTGAAAGGAGAGAGCTCTGAATTTTTCAATGCCTTTTTTTCCCTATGATATTCCATAATCAATAAAATACACCGTTTTCTATTCAAAAGAGAAAAATCACAAGTGGTTGGGATGTGTAACCCACAGGAAAATTTCTTGAAAATGAAAATTTTTATTTTAAATAATAGACTTGATTAAATATTCATAAAATGAGGACCTAAAACGGCAATTAATTTAATGAATACGCCATTGACCCGGCCCTGATGCGCGTGACATTTATGAAACTCTTTCTTATGATTTGGGAGGGTTAATCAAAGAGGTGTCACAAATTATTAGAAAGTCATGGTCTAGATAACGACCTTCTCTCATGCCTCATGGGTTTGGGATCTCCTTTTGCCCATTAATATGAAAGCAGTAATTTTTTATAGATTAAATTTGTGTACTAAAAGTTGTACTAAATCAACTATAGACATTAGATCAGTGATGAGACTCGCTAATCCAACAGGTGCAAGTTTTATGATGCAAAATTTGGTACGCAAATTTAATGCACATATTATTACTCATATGAAAAATATCATTTATATCTAATTTAAGAACTTATTTTGTTAAACAAATGTAATATAGGAGGGGATTTCATCTATATTGAGACTTCTTGTTGATTTAATGACTATACTGAATTAGGTCATAATTTGCAAGACTTCAAGAAAAGTTCACTAGCATTATCAATTTAACAATTAAATAAATTTAATCAATAAATTTGGTTCAAGTATAATTACACAGTAACTTTTTTGTGACTCAATTTCCCGTGTAACTCTATCTAAAGTTCAATGTAACTTCCTTTTTATTTCTCTTTTTTTTTTTTTTTTTTTCTGATCTCCTAAGTAAATATTTATCATATAATCACCTTCAGTTTCGACTCTGTGGACACATATAATTGAGACTTTATCAAATACCCCTTTAACTCCTCTTTCTTGCTGATTTGGTTAATAAATTTAAAGAATTTTTTTTTTGTCTATTTCTCTTCTACCCTCTTGTTTTTACCTAATTAGGATTTATGGATTTCTTTAATATACATTATACCATCTCTTCAGTATCAAATAAGTTTGTTAAATTATTAGTGAATATTAATATAAAACTGATTCCACTTTCAATTGAACAATAATATAAAATTTGATTAATAAATATTATCAATAACTCTTTCGTAAATGAAATTCTATTGAAGTTAAAAGAAACTTCCTTTTTTATTTTCTTTTTTACTTGAATCTCCTCATAAAATGTTGCTCATATAATCATGTTCATTTTCAGTTCGCTTGACACATGGAATGAACACCATATCAGTGTTTCTTTTAACTCCTCATTCAGGCTGACTTGGTCCATAATTGAGCTGATATTGACACTTAGATCAAATTAACAAATAATAAATTCAATTAATAAATTGTGTCAATATATAAAATTTAAACAATATTACTCCTAAAAATATTTGGGCAAAGTGAGCCCTTATATTTTTCCGTGATGCAAAATCCAAGATAGTAGGAAAATGTCCCTTTTGGTTGGACCATATGAAGCTTTAAATGGTGGTGTGGGGCACATTTGACTCTTCCTTAGAATCTGCGCGTTATTCATACTAGAGGAAAAGTAAGACAATGCCATTTCCTTTTCCTTTCATTTTTCACCATCAATGACATTGAGTGGTGGAATAAAAACCCATTCTTGGACATGAAAACGAAATGGGTTAATTGCTGTGGAGTTTCCCAATGTATGCGTTTTGTGTTATTTTAGTTTTTAATATGTTAATTACATTAAATTAGTCCTTAGTATTTTCAATTTGATTTTCAATAATTTCCATTAACAGCGGCTTTTTCACGTAGACATATAAATAGAGCACATAGCGATGTCCCCTAAGTGACAAAAAAAAAATAGAATAAGGCCAATATCATTTGTGACTAATATTTTGACGTAACTCAATAGAGTTGTTATCTATAAGACATTACATCTAGATCTCATCTCGTTCAAACTCGTTCATATTGCATTAAACTTGTCAAAGGAATTAATCGTGGTGCGTTTTAGAGAAAAAAAAAAAAAAAACCATTCGGTGATGCTCTTCTGAGGTTCCTTCATTCAATCCTTAACAACTTGATGCCAGTGATGCTCAGAAGAAATCAAATTTGTTGCTAGACACCTGTGCTTTTTTGGATATATCAATAGAAATAGGGATTGCCAACGAGCGGGGCCGACATAGATGCTAGCATACCTAGGCCCACGGCCTGCACAAGGATCTTGCCATAGTGGGCCCTTAACAGGCCGAACAATGGGTATTAAATGGGTGTTTTTTTTTCAAAAAATTTGCATATCAAAATATAATTTCGAAAGAAATACACGAATTCATAAATTTGGGTACTAAAAAAGAAATTGAATTAAAATTCATTTTCATTGATGTACATGAATGAATCTTCATTACAAAATTAGAGTATTACATTGATAGGTAAGACCAATTTGCATCAGTACATATTGAATTGAGTACATTTCACATGTAAATACATAATTGTCAATTACTTATAATTTTTCACCTCGGTAAAGATTAAAGATCAAATAATCTAATTAATTATCTTCCACGAGCATCCAATCTTCTCTATCTAAATTCATTTTCCATTCACATTCTGCCTAGTTCTTCATTATTGTCTTCTCAAGTGAGACTCCAATATTTAAAGAAAGGGAGAATCTCATTTTGTACTTTGAAAGATTTAAGAATTTTTATTTTATACCCTTGAAGTCTAAATTTTTCACATTACACTCAATATATCAAAAATGTTACAACGTAGTTCTATTGTTAGATTCCGTTATTTTTTCTGTCAGTATCAATGAGGAGGTTTTTGATAAAAAAAATTAACGGAAACTAATAGAAGGGTCATGTTGCATAGTCGTTATTGGGGACTTTGATATTAGGGTCATTTGAAGATGGAATCTCTATAGGGGGCATTTTTAGATTGTCATCAATATAGCCAAAAACATTTTGGCCCTTGAGGTAGGGAAGCCTCTGTACTTTTCAAATTGAAAAATTGATATAGGTAAGTTTGGTGATATTGATTGCGAAATTGGGGTTGAATGTGGGTAGTCGGGAGGTCATGGTTTCGAATACGATAGAGGAGGTTGGAGAAGACATATTTTATGATGTATGTCACAGAAACTCTGATACCATATATAAGATTTTAGATAGAGGTTTCTTAGTTGATTCAATGTACAAGCTTTTTCATTTATAGAAGGAGAGATGTAACAAATTCTACAAATATGCAGCTATAGTTGGACTGAATTCAAATTCTTAGGATCTTATCTTCTCAGCGGAAGACTTGGTCTCCTCATATTCTGGGGAAGCAGTTTCATTTGTGTGGACTGATTCAACATTTGGACGTCAGCTCGGATGTTGTTATGTCTGAGAAGCATAGGGTGACGCCGATCTTCCTACATACTGGGGATGATGTGTTGCTCC